ATCCCTCTGAGCCTCAGTTTCCTCGGCTGCAAAGTGGGCATAACAATCGTATCTAGAAGGATTAATTGAGATAATCCACGCAAAGTGTCTCACACAGTCTAGCATGTGGGAAGGCTCACCAAAGGTTAGCAGTTATTACAAGTGATTATTGTGACTTGTGTCTGTGATTAAACACAGCTTTGAGTTCAGTGTGTTTGTGCCAAAATTGCTTTCAGAGGAGAAACTCTGGGCTGATTTTTTTTTTTCGAGTCTTGCCCTGATGCCCAGAAAGTCTCTAGGCGGTCTGGGATTGGAGTCATAATGTTTAGTAAGTGCCTGCCTCGCACTCCAGCTTGGATGAGAGACTGGTTATCTTCCCGAGCACATGCTCCGACGTTGCTGGGCGAGCGGGTGAGAACAGACCCATAAAATCACCAAATAGACACCTCCCCTGCTTCTGCCTGTTGGACTGTAAAAGTGTTCCAATGAATGATGGTGGCCACAGTGAGTATAGAGAGAGACTGCCACCAAATGAAAAGAGAGCTACTAGGCAGACGGAAAGATGGTCAGGACTCTCATGGTCTTCAAAGTTTCCTGGCAGTCAGCATCCTACCTAAGATAACCGCAGACCAACGCCTCAGTGTGGCATGTCCCATCCTCACCAAAGGAGTCTGGCCTTGGGGTAAGGGGGATCTGTGAGGGGCTGTGCTTGGCATCAGCCACGTCACCAAGCATAGAGGAGAAAGCCTGCCATCTGACCACATTTCCTACAGCCAAGTACTCTCAAGGGCCAAACCAGGATGGTTTCTTGATCCTACACTTCCTTCTGCCACTACGGTTGATGCAGAAATCAGGATGGGCGTGGCCAAGCCAGCTGTGGTCTTGGTTTAGAAGAGAGGACAGGAGTGTGCATTGAACAGAAGCCATACCTCAGGCGGCTACTTCATTCTTTGGATTCGAGGCCTATCGTTTGCTGGGTAGACAAGAGTCCAGAGCTTTATTATGATTCATCTCAGTATTATACATTGTAATATAATTCATTGTAATGATTACAAAGCCATTTCTCAGCTGCCACTGACTTGTGATGGTATCCCTAGCACTTGCCCACATCCAGAGGATCGGCTCAAGCCTAATGCAAGCACTAGGCATAAATTTAAATCAAAAGGATTGATTTGGGAAAGGTTATCTTCTCTCAGCTGCTGGGTACAGCCCCTATCCTCGTGTGTCTTAGCCCTTAGAAAATGGAGTTAACCCAGACATAGAAAATCGTCTTCCAAATCAACATGTACCAGAGCATTAAATGAGTTGAAAAAGCCTAACTAGTGATGGGGATGTGGTTCAGTTGGTAGAGTACTTGCCTAACTAGTGATGGGGAGATAGTTCAGTTCATCCAACCTTATCAAGAGGGTGATACCATTTGTATGTGTGTTCACAGTCCTATGAATGCAGTGTGTCTGTGAAAAGTGGCAGCCAGTGTGTCTAAACCAGAGCAAGATTTACTAGAGAGGCCTGGTATGACCAGTAGCTGGGTGGACTCATTTTCTCTACAATCTCTTTCTAGTCTACCCTCTGACCATGAAAAAAACCATACAAAGAGTAATGTAACCAAGAGCTTCCTGGGGGCTCCTATAAGCCTACCAGGCGCCCTTCAGAGCTTCTGCCAAGATGGGGCCAAGTGAGAGGGCTCCTGGCCTGGGAGTGCACATCCTACCTTCCTGCTCAGTGCTGCTGCAGTGTGCATTGTTTTGACATGTGCAGACCTTCAATCTCACGTTGCCTGAGGGCCTGAGGAAGGCGTGCTCCCCAAGCATCTGCACACAACAAACTCTCAGCTTCCACCTCCTCCCCGCAGTTAGCTTTCCCAGGGGCAGGGACAGAGGTACAGGTTCCTAGTCCACAATGAGGGTTCTGTTTCTTTCAGCCTGATCTTGGGCAGACCAGTTTGTACAGTCAGAGATGGGTCAGCCTTCTGAGGGTCTCTGGTTTGTTTTGGCTCAGCCTGGCATATGCCATCTAACTTCACTTGGCTGTGATCTCTGTTTCCACTGGGAAATTAGCATCCCATGAACCAAGAAGCTCTTTTCCTATCTCAGACCTTAGACCCTGTGATAATCGTCTACCCTGCCAACCAGTTTCCAAATTCTTACTTTGAAGTGTTGGGGCTTCTTGTTAGTGCTGTGTGTGTGTGTGTGTGTGTATGTGTGTGTGTGTGTGCGCGCGCATGCGCGTGTCAGGGTTATCACATTTGCATCTCAGGCTGATTTCCAACTCATCCTCCTCCTGCCTTGGTCTTCAGGGTCCTGGGATTGCTGGCCCAAGCCACCACGCCTGACTAGTGTAAGATTTAACAAGGAACAGTCATGCAGAACCTGATCTTAAAGAACAGGCTAAGAATCCACTTTCTGGCCCGGGCCAGCCTGCCCTCACTGGCTGGTGCTGACCTGCCTAACTCTCAGGGACACCCGGAAGCGTTCCCACCGAACACAGGCAGAGAACGTGCCTTGTCTTGATGGCTGATGTCGCTTGGTCTTCTGTGAATGCCTATAGCAGTCCTCTGCATCTTCCCGGGCTGGTCCCTGGACTGTTCTTTGATCACAGCTCTGTTCCTTACCCTCTTGGTTTCTGTTTTTGAGTTTTTGTTTTTGCATCCCTCTATGGCGCTGTGACAACGGAACAACACCAGGTATCAGAGCATGCCTATGTCGAGAGTCATGAGTGTCATCTCATTATCCCAGCGCTAGGATACTGAGGGTTTTGGAAGACACATAAGCATGTAAGACGGCCACGCCAAACAACTTCCTATTTCCTCCCATTGGGGAATCCGATGTTTCTTTAATCACTAATAATCACGCAATCTCACTATTAACAAACTTATAAATGATCTGAGTGATGGGGTGGGCATCTTTTAACTGTTACATGGAAGAGTTGTTATTCCTTATTGGACATTGTAAGACAGAGAGTACCTGGCTCCTCTCCGGAGCTGTGCTGAGACTGAACAAGGATAGTACCGGTGTCGCACTAGACGGGAAGGCAGAAGGTGCTGTGGACGCTCACACAGCCCCATGGATGTGAGTTTGTTTCTCATTCACTCTTATACCAACTCCAAGTTCCTTCCTTCACCCTCCTCAACATTTCCTTCCCTTGTTGATTGTGGATTCCTCCTCCCTCCAGAGAGCTGGCCTGCGTGTATTCAGTTTGAGTTTTACTATTTCCAGGTTGCTTATCTCCGTGGATGCTAGAGCTTAATTGGTCTGTTCTCATCAGCATCTTCAGAGCCTTTCCTTTAAATGTCAGCTGTGCATTGAATTAATCCGCCTCTCTTCCCTTATCCCTGTTCCCAGTTCCCTAAGAACATTAGCAGACAGCTTTCTCCGGAGGCTCCGTCAGCGTCTCTCTCTGGCCAACCTCATTGTCTTGTCATAGGTCAGAGCATCTTTGTATGACTCTGTTGACTCATTCTGAAGCCAGAGGACCCGTGAGCAGAACAAAGCCAGGGTGAATTAATGTGTGGTTAGGAAGCGGGGAACAAGCTGGGCCTTTGCTATGGTCCTGATTTCATGTTTCCGCCACATTCCTTTCCTTTTTATCATTTAACTTGAAATCCACCACTTTCCCATCGCTCCTCTGTCCACTGCCTGCACGAGATATGAAAGTTATCTGGCAGGACATAGCCCTAGAGGCCCCGAGCCTTAGTCAGAGGCCATGTCACAGAGGCAGAAGTCCTCTAGGGAATTAGACCCATCTGGGTACAGCTGGACAGCTTCGTCTCTAACCCCAGCCACAACAATGCACTTGCTTCCAGCGGACCATGGGTGTGTAAGAAATAAAAAATCCCCTGGATTTTTATATTTCAGTGTTGCCAAATTAAAAGCTGGTGTCAGGTTGATCTTCTCCCCTCTGAGGAATGCCAATGTCACCTCTTTATCCTCTCTGAAGCCTCCCGGGTTTCCAGAGATGGCTGCAACCCCAGGACATGAGGGGGCATGCCCAGTGCTCTGACCCTTACAACATTCAACCTCTGCAAGAATCGGTGACCTCCAGAGGGATTGATTTGCAAAATCCCGGGTCCAGAAGGGATAGGGGCCAACTGGCTTTTTTTATTTTCATGAGTAATGGTTTTGTAAGAAATACAGAGAGGAGGAAACAGAAGTGGTGGCCTCAAATCCCTAGAAACTCGTTTTATGGCTGAGACATCTTTGGGAGGTACTTAACCTGCTGGACAGCAGCTGTTGTGTCTGCACTTAACTTTTAGAACGCGCAAGAGTAGGGAAGGAAAAGAGGCCACAGATGTAATCTCGAGGAACATGAGCCTGGTGTGCGCAAACCCTAGTTCTCCTGCTTATTATTTATTTAACCTCACTCCTCAGTTTCCCCAGAATGGGTTATATGAAACTACTTACCTCAGTGGGGTGGGTCTCGGGATAAATATATCACAGATATTCATCTCTGACTTTTGGCATTTTTATTGTTGAGGGGCTCACCAAAAATGTACCCCACACACGCCAATCACCATGGTAAGCAAGAGAAGTCGGACTTGGGCAGACACTTATCACACGGTTTTTCTCACATCACAGAGATGTGCAAACAGAAGGGTTGACACTTGGGAGTGGACAGATAAAGGTAATGAGAGGTGACTATGCTCGGAGTCCATGGCATTGGTGGATAAGAATGTCATAATGAAATCATCACTTTGTGCAATGACTGACTGTATGTTAGTCTAGTGTTCTGTTTTTTTTTTGTTTTGTTTTGTTTTTTGTTGTTTTTTTTTTTTTTAATCTATGGATGACAAGAGTGGTTTGCAGTGTGTAGTCAGGAGCCGGCTCCTGGGTAGGAAAACTGGTCCTCGGGAGGTGAAGCCCCCTCTGCAAGGGCCAGCCCAGATATAGGCTCTTGTCTCCAGTCCTCTACCGCCTCGTGGCCCAGCTCCCTTTCCCATTTCAGTCGCTTGCTGAGTACCCAGAAATCCTCTGTATGTGTTGTAAACTGAGCCAAAAAGAGGGAATCAGAAATTGCTCTCTTTTGAGTATTTTGAAGGATGGTGAAACCTTGTTAGGAATGTTGCTCCAGGGACTGAGAAAACACCATATGTGGGAATGCATGGCTGAGTGAGGAGAATAGCGTGCGCGCCCTGGAGAAGGGTACCAGGGAGAGGGTAGGAAGGGGGTTTTACTGAGGTCTTTAACAGGTCTTTTTCTAATTATAGCCAAGAAGAGCCTGGGGACTATGGCCTGCTTCAGAGCCAAGGCCTCTATTTTCTTTGGGAAAAGAAGGCAGAGTTGATTGGCTTCCAATCCAGGCTTGGCAGAAGCCCACGCAGGATTTCAAGCCAGTAAGCAGTGCCTTGGGTAGGTCTTGATTGGTGTCGGTGCCCATTCAGTCAGCAGATCCTGAAGCTCTGCAGCCATGTTGAGCTCCAGGCTGGGCTTGTAGGATTAAATAGACAGGCTTCCCCACGGTGGAGGAGGAGACCTACCGCTAATAACAGCCATAGACGGTTGCTGAAGCCGAACCTTTTCAGAGGACTGTGAGCATTCCATAAGGGAAAGCAAACTCACTGTTGTGCCCGGCATAGCTGACACTGCTCTCCTGTTTCCGTTCCCCATGCTGGGGAAATAATCCCCTAGGGAAACTCCTACCCCAAGAGACGCGGTAGGAAGTGAAGGAAGTCTGACCGAAAAAGGGCCAGAGATCACACTTCGCCTCTCCTCGTGGCCAGCAGAATCACAAACCTCACTTCCTACTTCCTGCTCTTGCTTCCTTAATCTCCTGTCCCTGTGTACCCAATTCATGGGGTTCCTTGTCTCCCACAACCAGCATGGCTGGCCAGAGCTCCAAGCATGTGTAAGCAGTGACAATTGGGAGTGACCATGCTGGTACAGTCGGCTGGCAGCCAGATGTAGAAAGAGAAATTTTCCTTATGTACGTCTTCTATATGTACGTGCAACAGAGACAGGCATGCAGCCCGCCTGTTATTATGGACAACACAAATTCGTGTTCCACCTCCGTTTCTAGTACACTCTGTGTGTGTGCCTGATCGTGCCCTCCCCGTTATGTGATTATGAAAAAGCCTTGTCGAGCTTGAGGAAGAATCGGGTGTCCTCTAACCCCTGATGCTACCTAGCAGTTCATCAGGCCTCAGTATCTAGGAGTCTCTGCAACCCGGAATGTGTTGCTTTGGAAGATTCTTGTCCCAGTATTCTTGGGATTGCTTTCTCCAAAAACGAAGAAAGGTAAGAAGGAAGGAAAGGAGGGAGAGAGGAAGGCAGAAAGGGAAGGATAAAAGGAGATTTCCAAAATGGAGTCCAGAGGATGCCTGCTGGGAGTTGAGCAAGTCTTGCAGACAGTTTAGAAACACTTCCTGACCTCACATGGCATACTCTCAGGACTCCCTCCCGGGTGGATTGATGGTAAGGAACGGTGTGGAGGAGGGGCTGGATGAGGTCCACGGTACCTTCCATGGGCCTGTGAAGGATGCTAGACCTACTAGAGTACCATTTGGAGGACAGACTGATAGAACGGAAAGGAAGCGTGTTGCTGTTGCGGAAGGCAGTTGGAGAGCGTCAGAGAAAGGCCAGCTTAGGAAGCCAGTGGCCAGGAGCAGGAACAGCTTTAATGTAAGTGGTCATGAAAATGGCGAGGATGGAAGCCTTGCCCCTAAGTCACAAAGCTTGGAGAGAAACAGTGAATCGGGTTAGAGTGGGGGGGCGTGAGAGCAGTACAACTGATGGGAAACGAGAGCAGGGGGCAAAGACACCGCCCCACCTCCTCTTTCTCTTAGCACTGTGTCCAGTACTAGAGGCTGTACCTGGAATTTCTCTCAAAGGCCCAGGTATTCAAGGTTTGGTTCTGGCTCCACAGGTACCGAGAACTTGCAAGAGGCCTTCATAGCGCTGGAGACATGTCCTGGGATAGGGCTCTCTCCTCCTCCCCTCCTTCATTTTTCTTTTGCTCCAGGCCATGGTTGATATTTTTTTTTCACTTAAGCACACTCTTTTTGACTGTGTCACCAGAACCAAAGCACAAGGCCAATTCATCACAAACTGAAGCCTCGAAAGCCGTGAGCCAAGAAACCTCTCCTTTTCTTTATATAGTGATCCTCTTCGGTATTTGGTATAGTAGTTGACCAGCAAATCAGCAAAGGCACGAGGTCAAATGTGCTTTCGTTCTTAAAAGTTGCTTTCATTTTTATTTATATGTGCATGCATGGGTGTGTGACACATGTGTGCTGGTGTCCATGGAAGTCAACAGAGGATGTTAGCTCCCCTAGAATTATAGTTACCTACAGTTGTGAACCACCCAACATGGGAGCTGGCCCGGAACTTAGGTCCTCTAGGAGAACAGCAAGCACTTTTACCTCCGGAGCCAGTTTTCTAGCCCTCAATAGAGCTTTTGTTGTTGTTTTGTCTTGTTTTTTTTTTTTTTTTTTTTTTTTTTTTCCCCAGACAGGGTTTCTCTGTAGCTTTGGAGCCTGTCCTGGAACTAGCTCTTGTAGACAAGGCTGGCCTCAAACTCAGAGATCTACTTACCTCTGCTTCCCAAGTGCTGGGATTAAAGGCATACGCCATCACTGCTCGCCTCAATAGGGCTTTTCTAGCAGTAGCTTTGGCTTCAAAATTCATGCTACCATCCCAAAGACTTCCTTCTTAGCCCAAATCCATCATACCATCCAATACCCAGCTTGCCAAGTCATCCTTATTATTACCTTGCCCACCACTGTATGGACTTTTCCTTTACACAAGAGGCCCTGCATGAACAGATATCACCCCTGATGTGCTTTCCTGTGAGCGAGGACGCTCATGTGTCCAGGACAACCTGGTAAACTGTCCTTAGATAGACTCCCAGTTTCACATAATCTTGCAGCTATACGGGGGCGAGGGTGGAGGAGGCTGTGCATGCTGTTTATCTTGTGGTCTTGAAGTCACATTTCGTTAGGTTTGCAAGATTGATGGAAATGTCCCTTTTCTGCAGAGCGGGAGGGAGATTAATTCTCCTGTGGGAACCATTTTCCTGGGACAGCACAGTTCCTGGACTGGTGTCTAGGGCAGGCAGCCATGTTAGAATCCTTCCTTGGCTTTGCCTTTGAAGGAATCAGTCATCCTAAGAGTGGTTCCCAGGGGAGGAAGATGGTCCCCTTATTCACAGAGGCAGGCCAGGAACCAGCAGGTAGATGGTCCGGTTAATGACTGGACCTTTGTCATCCTTTGGGGATGAGAGAAGAGACGAGGAAGTAGCTGTTTGGTAATTCTGGAGACAGGCTCCTCAATGAAGATTCATAATCGAAACTTCTTTTCCACAGCTTGTGCCAACCTTGTTTGTTCCTTTTGTTTTCCCCCTGGATTCTGTAAGATCTTTCTGAAAATACCAACACTGAACCAACGGAAAGGATTTTATTTTCCATGTGAAGACAGAACTCTGAAGAGAAAATACCCATGGGGCTGCTGGGGTGGCAGCAGCGGTGATTAAAAAGTGGATGCTCTGGGTGTGGGGTAAGGGGACTGCCAGGTCATGGTCACCAGCTCAGCTGGCTTTCCACCTGAGAGTCTCCCCCTTGGGCTAACCTCCCGGAAACATGGGCTTGGCCCTAGCACAGGAGAGGTGTGTGAGGAGGATCTCCAGATCGCTCTGCAATTCCACAAGGACTCTCCAGGAGCCCTGTGCTGAGGTTCTGTTATGGCAACAGAAGAGAGAGCGGTGGGTTAAAGAACCATTTCAGGAGGGAGGTGGTGGAATCAGATGGAGGACTACAAAAAGAAGTAGAAAAATAGAAACTAAAAATCCTTAGGGAAAAAAAAGAACTAAAATCAACCCTTGCTTCTCAGAGGAGGTAGAGCCGTTCATTTGAGCTTTGTTTTGCTGGGTCTCTCTTTTCATCAAGGGGTGCTTCACAGAGCTGTGGGTTTTAGGATTGATGGATAAGAGGGGTGCGCTGGTGACGCAAGGCCTTCTGGGAGCTGACAGAGCACCTTGGCACTTAGGCCCTCTCAGCAGGTGCCCGGTGGCCTTGTGTTTGTTTCCAAGGACAGGAGGAGCCAGGAATGAGCCTCTCTCTGATGCTACACTATATATAAAAACAGCAGACCCAATGGCCAGCCTCAGTGTGTCCTCCTGGAAGGCCCTACAGGCTAGAATTGGACCGATAGCACCACATGTCTTGAGGAAATTACAAGGCCCTGAACTGAGAAAGCAGTACATGGATGCAGTCCTCAGCGCGGCCTCGGTAGGGTGGGCCATGTATCTTTCCCAAGCTCAAGGGACTTGTCAGGATGTCACCGGTGCACAGCAGGAGGCTGGGGAGCAATGCAGACATCTGATGTAGAAACAACTGGTGCTGTCAGTCTAGAAAGCAAGCCCTCCAGAGCCCCGTGGTGCATTCCCCAGGATTTCTCAGGGGCTGGGGGAGGAAGCTGCCCCTTCTAAATAGCAGGAAGGAGCCGGGCTGCTTCCTTAAATGGTGGTGCCCTCTCCTTTGCTCTCAGAGATGTCAGTCTCGGGCAGCTGACACCGGAAAGACCCGGACTCTCGCAGCCAGCTCTTAACACCTGTGTTTCCTCTTTGCAGATCTTACAGGTGAACAAGGTGATGTCCATCTTGTTTTATGTGATATTTCTCGCTTATCTCCGTGGCATCCAAGGTAACAACATGGATCAAAGGAGTTTGCCAGAAGACTCGCTCAATTCCCTCATTATAAAACTGATCCAGGCGGATATTTTGAAAAACAAGCTCTCCAAGCAAATGGTGGATGTTAAGGAAAATTACCAGAGCACCCTGCCCAAAGCGGAAGCCCCCCGAGAACCGGAGCAGGCAGAATCCACCAGGTCGGAATTCCAGCCCATGATCGCAACGGACACAGAACTACTACGGCAACAGAGACGCTACAATTCGCCCCGGGTCCTGCTCAGTGACAGCACCCCTTTGGAGCCCCCTCCCTTGTATCTCATGGAGGATTATGTGGGCAACCCGGTGGCAGCCAACAGAACGTCCTCACGGCGGAAACGGTATGCAGAGCATAAGAGTCACCGAGGGGAGTACTCGGTGTGTGACAGTGAGAGTCTGTGGGTGACCGACAAGTCCTCAGCCATTGACATTCGGGGACACCAGGTCACAGTGCTGGGGGAGATCAAGACCGGCAACTCCCCCGTCAAACAATATTTTTATGAAACGAGATGTAAAGAAGCCAGGCCAGTTAAAAACGGTTGCAGGGGAATTGATGACAAACACTGGAACTCTCAGTGCAAAACGTCCCAGACCTATGTCCGAGCACTGACCTCAGAAAACAACAAACTCGTAGGCTGGCGCTGGATACGAATAGACACTTCCTGTGTGTGTGCCTTGTCGAGAAAAATTGGAAGAACATGAATTGGCATCTGTCCCCACATATAAATTATTACTTTAAATTATATGATATGCATGTAGCATATAAATGTTTATATTGTTTTTATATATTATAAGTTGACCTTTATTTATTAAACTTCGGCAACCCTTACAGTATATAAGCTTTTTTCTCAATAAAATTCGTGTGCTTGCCTTCCCTCAGGCCTCTCCCATCTGTTAGCCTTGTTCTGTGACCGGGCTCTTGGGAATCCTTCTGTAAAAACCTGTGTACACCAGTATTTTGCCTTCAGTATTGTCAAGGCCATGACTGTGGTTTTAGTAAACTTCTTCAAATCAGATGATGTCAGAGTTGTGTATAAACAGAGTTCTATCCCCTTCTGGTGTGTTCCACGTTAGATTAATGAATTAAAAGAACCGCTAAGGCCTCCGTTGAAACGGTACCTTGTAGCCCGCGGCTTGGCATTCTCCTCTGGACAGCAAGCTCACGATCAGGTCCTCACTTACTCTTCCCAGCTATGGGGCCTGCCAATTAGAGCTGTGGTCTGCGCCAATAATAACGAACCTGGCACTTTTACTTTTCAGCACATTTGTTGTTTGGGGATTGTGTAAGGGTTGGAATTTTTTTTTTCTTTTCGTTTGGCTTTGGTTTTGTTTTTGCTTTTGGTAAGTGGTTTTCATCCTTTTAGACAGGGAGGAAAAAAATTGCCTAACTATTTCTAACAGACTTTTTGTGTTGTGTGTGTGTGTGTATGTGTATGTGTGTGTGTGTGTGTATGTGTGTGTGTGTGTGTGTGTGGTGCTGGGGTTCAAACTGTAACAGAAAAATTATAGATCTACCCAGGAGCAAACTGAAATGGCTCATGAATAATCCATATACAGAAGATAAATGTACTCATTAAAGATTCTCTTGGCCCAGGGACTTTGCCATGAGCAGTTGTAAATGGGTAGGCTTGGGAGAAAGAGCTGGTTCAAACTCCAGCCCCTCCCCTATGACCTTGCAAAGGGTTTGAAGACTACCAGAGCCTGGGTTTCCTGGGGATGCAGTCATTCTGAGATTCCCAGGATCGCTGACACGTCAGTCAAGTCCCCATTATAAACTTAGTAGCCAGAGGTAGGTCTCTGAGAGTGTCGTGGCCTTGTCCATTGCTTCTTTCTTTCCAGGGTATTGCGGTCAACCCTGTATCACTGTTAATTGATGCACCCAGGAGACGCAAATGGTCCACATGCAAAGGACTTTCTTGGTGCCTGCTGAGTCTTGGCAAGGGATCACTGTGGTGATAACCTCTGGTCCTTGTGAGAATAGGGACATTAGTCAGGCCTCGCCCCAAAGAGTTTCTTGATGTCCTGTTCCCACGGTGACATCGTTCACCCTGTTGGGGTTGCAGCATAAGTACTCCGGAGGTACAGAGGTCTACCGCTCCAGCTTGGAAGCTCCTCTGACAGCCCTAAACCCTGCTGCGTGCCTGCTCTGACCTGGGTTGCTCTGCCTCAGTTTAAGGCCTACGTGTGCTCTCTCTCCAAGGCCTCTAACATGGACAGAGAGAAGACGTGTCCTCCGTATGACATGAGCGTTTGAAACACAGGCAGCAAATAACAACTGTGGTTAAAAACATCATTTTATATACAATTCTGAATCCTAAAGTGTGGACAGAAAACAAGAAACCTACTATGTCTCCACAATGCACTGGTCACTTTCAAAGACGGTTGATATTATTTGTCAAAGAAAAGAGGAAGGGAGGGAAGGAAAGAGGGACGGAGGGAGGAAGGAAACTTGAGGGTGGTATTGTCATCTCAGGGTGAGGAATGAGGAAGGGTGATTTTGCAGGAAACTGGCAGAGTAGAGAGTTAGGTTCATCTATCAGTGATAACAGCAGATGCCCGCTGTCTCCCTTCCCTCCTGTCTCTCTTCTGGTGGGACAGCGTTGTGCTTCCATGGCTGCTGCAGTGCTGGGGAGGAGAGGCACCGTTCTCTCATGGAGACCCGCTGTGGCCTGTGCTTTGCTACTGCCTGTGTTCAGGACAGGGAGACCAGCAGGTAGTCAAGTGGGGTCTGATGGACGGCAGAGCTCGGTTCTAGGATCTCCTCATTGTGGGGAGACCCCACGAGCATTTCTAAGGAAAACGTGGCACTCCCGCTGCTGGAGGCCACCACACTGAAGACGTGTGAAGAGCTGAGGTCTGGATGTGAGTGACGGTGGTGGCAGGGAGAGGGTGGGCACAGAAACTCTCGTTCTGGGATGCTGGGGGAGTTCCATGGCTCAGACTATTCATTAAGGCTTACCCATCACCTACGGAAGGGGAGGGGACCTTAGGGGAGCACCTGCTAATTTCCCTTTTCTCATGTCTCTCACCAAGCTTCCTTCTCCATGGACACATGGGGGGGGGGTTGCCAACCCTCCACGCAGTGGAGCAATATTCTGTTAGCGGTTATGTCCGATTCCTTTCTGAAGGTATGTGTTACACTCTTCCTCCACCTCTAATGCTCTTTCCAGGATATTGTTGTTACCCCGGGTTTGGAATTTGTTATATTACTCTGCTTGCTGCTCCCTTTCTCTGTGCGGGTGCCTGTGTGTCTATGTGCCCGTCATTGTTGATTTAGTCGGCGTGAATGCTCTCCACAGAGGCTGGGGAGACCATTTGCATCGGTGTTTACCGTCGCTGACATCTCTGGACATGTGTTCAAGAATGAAGCCTCTGTTCACCGCTCTCCAGAGACTGATGCACCTTCACCCGGAGACTCATCTCCGAGCCTCAAACTCTGGCGGCCCTGGGTATGCAAAGCCAGTGCTGAGGGCTGCTGAGGGGCTGCACTTAGGTCCTGCTCCGCTTCGCAAGCTCCAGCTTTGTCCAGGGATATCATGGCTTCCGCCTCAACCAGAGTGCCGTGAAACCCAGGAAGAGCCTGTTCATAGCAACAGCCCCCACTCTGCGACCCTGGCTCCTAGACGGAGGTCTGAATTCTCTGCAGTCTCATATGTCTGAAAACTCCTGCATCTGGAAGCTTCTTCCTCAAGATCCCTATTCTCACTTTTCAAATTATGTTCTCATAACTTTCTCAAGCGACAGTGGCTGGTGGCCTACTTGCGGTACACACTTGTTCTCCAACACCTTGAAATGCAAATACTTCTGTCCTGACTTAAGTCCCTAGGTTTTGGTTCAGGATGGAGGCCGATCCAGCCTTGAAGAGCAGAACACTGTATAGATCGGAGCTCTCTGAAGGACTATGGGTTTGTTTGTGTCAATGCTCAACCTTGTGGAATCACAGCGTATAGATGGGGCTGATGACCCTCTACAGATGCTGTGCTGGAACCCCAAATAGGGACGGGCAAAGAGGCAGAGAAGAAGTTTTCCAAGGTTACCAAATGTCCTTTCTTTTTTTTAAAAAAAAAAAATGTTATTTGTATAGGTGTTTTGCCTGCATGTATGACTGTGTCCCACACACATGCCTGGTGCCGGGACAGGAGAAGGGATTAGACCCTTGGGAACTGGAGTTACAGAAAGTTGTGGGTCACTAAGTGGGTGCTAAGAATCCAGGACCCGTGGAAGAGTGACCAGGGCTCTGATCTGCTGAGTCATCTCTCCAGCCTCACCAAAGGCCCCTTCTAGAAGGAACTGCTTGCCGCTGCTGAGTCTGGCTGGGCTGAACTGTTGTGTGGGTCACTGACGTTTCGGGTTAAATTACAGAATGCTGTGCAGCAAAAACACATTAAAGTTTATTGGCAAGTTGTGAAACACAGCCTAATGAATTAGACAGCTATTCACATGGAATGGATGAGTAAGTAGGTATGCATATCTCATGGGTACCTTCACACTTCTCTCTCTCTCTCTCTCTCTCTCTCTCTCTCTCTCTCTCTCTCTCTCTCGTGAGTGTGTGTGTGTGTGTATGCTTGTGTGTAGAAATATGTGCGTGTAACTATTTTGATATTCTAACCATTGATGTATTGTATGTTTAAAAGGAATTAATGCTTGAAACAGAATGTTATGGAGCATTTAATAACCTTGAGGAATTAATTCAACCTTGAGGAAACTGAGCTGCCAGCCAGCTGGGGAACTTAAGAAAGAGACAAGAAAGCATAGATGAGGTAAACATTTGACAAACTCCTGTCAAATAACAGGGCCGAGACTTGGGGTTCTCCTAGGAGCCGTGACAGAAGGCTCTGGAACTGTGGCGCTTCCAATCTAGAAAGTAAGTGACAGAAGATGGCACTGGGGGCTGCAGATGAAAACTAAGGTGGAACCAAAGTCAAGGGGGAAACTCTAAGAACGATGACATTTCCTGCTGCTTTCTTCCCGCTAGTTCCTGAGCGTGAATCTCGATGGATTCTCAAGCCATCCCTGGTGTTCCGGCCTCAGTGAACAGCTGAGGGCATTCCTTGACAAAAGCAGCCTTCCTGAGGTCACACAGCCAATCAGAGGGAAAGGCCAGATAGGAACCCAAGGAGTCTCCATGGCTTCAAAGCATAGTGCTAAGTGCCTGAGGGGCCCTGGCCTCTGAATTTCAGCGGGGTCACGTAGGGGTGTGCACTTGGCACAGTCAAGGAGGTGACGGGGTCAATGCTTCTGGGTTCCAAAGACTGTTCTGACAGTGTAGAATGGCAGCCTCTGTAGCAGGCTCCCAGACACAGGGATTCTTAGTGTGGTGGAAAGAAAACAAGTGGGGCTCTCTTACCAGACCCCCGGATTAGGGGCAAAGTGGCTGTTGCTTCCGTCTGAAGTAGAAAGACTGGCAGCCTACAGTGGCCATTTAGGTATTTTGCAAGGAGATAGAAGGCAGGAATTTCTATTTAGACATAAACTTTGAGATCCAGTAATCCATGCTCCCTTATAAGGCAGAAATCTATTTTTATTCATTTGATACTTAAGAAAAAAATGGCATGCCTACTAGGTAGTGGGCACTCTGCCCAGCTGGATGCTCTGTGCTCACAGAGGTATCGTCTCCCCTGGAAGAGGAGCGAGTAGAAGGGATGGGGCCTCAGGGAAGGCAGCGTGGAGTCGCCTTGACAATTCCCACGCCTCATGATGAGTGTGCCTCCGCCAGCAGCTTGCTCTATTTTAAAACAGCCGTGACTATCTGATAGAAAGTCTCTCCCGCCACCGAAGCCAAATCAAGAGACAAAAATAGTTGCAGCTAGGTTGTCAACAAACCGGCTGCAGGCATCCAGAGTGTGGGCAGCTAGATGCTGCTCAGGACACTCAGGGGAGGCTCCGTTGAGACATGTGACCTCCGAGGTGGCTCTTAAGGGATGGGTTGGAGTTCCTTGGAGGAAAGAGCAGGAGAAGGACGCAGCACACAAAGGTGTAGATGGGCGAGAATCTAACATATGTAGGGAGAACGG